TTAAGTAATTTCCTCACATCAGTAAAACAATATATAATTAAACTCCACTCAATCGTATGTATCGAATGAACTTCACACAAAAGGAAATATAGAACGGACTCTTCACAGTTTTTATAATTATCAAGTGGACTCCACTCAAATGTAATTATTATATCTCATATGAATAATTACAAGTTAAAGGAATCTGACTGGCGGAGGTAGTCACGTGACCGTCGTGTTCGCCCTGCATCGTGTTTTACGATTGTGACTTCACAATGCAACGACTGATACGCAGGTAAAATTGCAGCGTATGTTCAACTTTGGTTGAACACACGTTTAACATATGTTCGCCATAAAAAACGAGCCACCTATGATTAACATATGTTTTTAAACATATGTTGATCATACGTTCAGCGTATGTTATTCATATTTTTGCATGATCTTATGATCAACATACGTTGATGTTCATGTTTTGTAAAATTATATAACCATACCTTATTCATAAGCTTTATTCCAATATGAATCACACATGATATTCATTTAAAAAATGCTTTTAACCAATTTCTTGTGTTTCTTTACATGAATTCTCGTTACGTTTCAATTTCACTCTGCTACTACATGATCAACACTTTTGACGTCACAGGTTTAGTATTTAACCCCTGTGATAACTACAGGGACCCCAAAACGGCAAAAATCCGTTTATATAATGCCTTTGCATATTTTCATTCATTTTTACAACCTGAATCTTAGATATCAATATCGAGATTGAATTCTTTTACATAATTTAAATCAGACTTCTTAGTTCCGCGACACATATTACTCTTCGCGGATCTAAAAAGTCTGATTTTAATTAAATTGATAATCATTAGTCTATGCTTTTAAGGGTTGTGCAATTAGGTAATTGAATAAAACATGTGGAGATAACAAAAAGAATTCGAGCTTAAACGTCCATTAAAAGTCACAAAATAGTATCATGGCAAACACTAATCTCCAAAACATCAGGAGTGGGATCAGGTGACATGGAATAATAAACATTCCCTGCCAACCGTTCACACAGAGCGTGTGCTTATTGTAATGTTCAGGAAAAAAAAAAACGGAAGAATCCGTGGACAATACAGTGTATAAATAATGGTCTAGCAATCAGTATAAAAAAAGTCAGTCATTTCATGTAATGATAGATTATATTTTCTGACACATAAACACAAAATATAAAACTGTAAAAAATACGAATTGAAAAAAAAAATGACCATGAAAATATATTAACATGTACTATACACATTATCAAACAAAGACAAAATTTGCATGTTTCACAATAACTTATGTCAAATTTATTGCATAATTTTAAAATTTTGAACTCAATTGTAATATTGTAATTGTCGATGTGTAATTCTATATGAACTCAGAAAAACAATTTCGCACAACAGATATATTTTCAACATTCATTCTTCCTTTTTTAAACAAAAGGGAATGCATTATCCCGAATAACAAACAATAAACAATGCATGATATCAAACAAAGCACTTTTATATAAAAGAAATCAAACAAACAAAATTAATACAAAATTGATACATGTACACACATTTTCAAGTTCAAACAATGCATAATATAAATCAAGCACTAAAAAAAAGATCAAACAAACAAAACTAATATTAGATTAATACATGTACACACATTTTCAATTTAAAAAAAAAAAAGAAAAGAAAAAAGAAATCAATGGCATATCGACAAATGTAAAACATGTATTAAAAAAATTACAGCTAATTGATATACAGGGGCTTAAAAGACACATGCCATGATGTGCCCATATCAAGGAATATTTGATATTTATCCCCCCCGAACATAAAATCTTTAAGTTTATACAATAAAAAAAATTGGCCCAAACGAATTTTGATTAATCAACAGAATATAATTGCATGTTGTATGCATAACAGTTCAAACTCATGTGTCGCCTGTATGAGGTCAGGATAATTAAAGCCCTTAATTACACCCAGATAAATAATCATTACTCGTCTCACTCAATAAATTTAAATATTACGGAAATACAGTGCAATGTTTTAGCTTGATATCAAATAACAGACTGCTCCCTTACTGCTTACAAGAACAAATAGCTTTTTGTAGCCGCAAGACTTTGCTCTCTTGAAACAAGACAGTTTATTAGGCTGAATTTTATTGATAACTTAAACCTTTAAACAGCAGTAGTACAATAAAAAAAAAGAAAGTCACATGACATTAAAGTGTAATCAAGCAAAAAAAAAAAATACTGTAAAAAAGCATACTTTTTATTCAAAAGAACTTTTTTATGTTTTCTTACAAAAAAGTAATTCTTGCGTATAAAAGTATTATTATTTAATATGAACAATAACACAAACTTTAGAGAAAATTTCTTTAAAGTACGATATCTCTATCTCGCTTTTACATACGAAGTTTCCATCTAAAAAACACATTTGTCACAGAAAATTTGGCGATTAATAGTACTGCAGTAATCACTAAAATCTTAAAGAAAAAAAAAAGATCAATCCACACAAATTTTTAAAAGCAATAAATATCTGTAAACCAAACATAAAACACGAATCCCAAGCACTCCAGGAGTAGACTCAGGTGCCCAAAATGAGAAAACATACCCTTTGATCGGTCATACTTGCCATGTTTTTTGTCGATGGACAGAGGTAACGTTCTTTTGTCAAATTAAGTACAAAACAGCTTATCACTTAGTATAAACATGTTTGATAAATTAAAGACATTCATGCTGCTAACAATGCAATTAAAAAATATAATATAATTTTCGGAACATTTGAACATGAAGCAGAAGTCTGATTTTAATTAAATTGATGTTCATGCTGTCTATGCTTATAACGGTTGTGCAATTAGGTAATTGAAAAAAACATGTGGAGATAACGAACAGAATTCGAGCTTAAAAGTCCATTAAAAGTCACAAAATAGTATCATGGCAAACACTGACCTCCAAAACATCAGGAGTGGGATCAGGTGACATGGAATAATAAACATCCCTTGCCAACCGGTTACATCCGGCGTGTACTTATTGTAATGTTAAGCTTGTATTTATTGTAATGTTCAGGAAAAAACGGAAGAATCCGTGGAAAATGCAGTGTATAAATGATAGTCTAGCAATCAGTACAAAAAAGTCAGTAATTTCTTTTAATGAGAGTTTTTATTTTCTGACACATAAACACAAAATATAAAACTGTATAAAATACGACCTTCAAAATATATTTGCATGTACTATATACAGTATCAAACACAAACTAAATTGGAATGTTTCAGAATAACTTATGTCACAGTTATTGCATAATTTTAAAATTTTAAACTCAATTGTAAATCATGCTGTAATTGTCGATGCGTAATTTTTGATGAACTCAGAAAAAAAACAATTTTGCACAACAGATATATTTTCAACATTCCTTCATTCTTCCTTTTTTAACAAAAGGGAATGCATTATCCCAAATAACAAATAATAAACAATGCACAATATAAAACAAAGCACTTTAAAAGAAATCAAACAAACACAATTAATACAAAATTGATACATGTACACACATTTTCAAGATCAAACAATGCATAATATAAATCAAAGCACTATAAAAGAAATCAAACAAACAAAATTAATACAAAATTAATTCATGTACACGCAGTTTCAAGTTCAAAAAAGAAAAAAAAAAAGAAATCAATGATATATCGACAAATGTAAAACATGTATTTAAAAAAGAAATGTTTCTGTGACGTGATTTTTTATTTCGTAGAATTTTGTGTACCTTCATCAACGAATTGATAGACAGGGGCTAAAAAGACACATGCCGTCAAGATCTGTACATATTAAGGAATATTTGATATATAACCCCCCTCCCCGAACACATAATCTTTATACAATTAACGAATTAATTCCAAACGAATTTTGATTAATCAACAGAATATAACTGTATGTTGTAAGCATAACAGTTCGAACGCAAGTGTTGCCTATATAGAGTTAAGATTTATTTAAATAAAGCCCTTAATTACACCCAAATAAATAAATTATTACCAGTTTCACAGAATAAATTTAAGTATTTCAGAAATACAGTGCAATGTTTCAGGTTTATATCAAATAACAGACTGCTCCCTTGTTCTACAGAAACAAAAAGCTTTATTTAGCCACAAAACTTTGCTCTCTTGAAACAAAACGCTTTATTAGACTAAATTATTTTATAACTTACGCCTTTAAATAGCAGTAGTACAATAAAATAAAGAAAGCTTTATGACATTAAAAAATAAGTAAGCTTAATGAATTACTGTGAATACGTATATATTTTTTTCAAAAGAACTTTTTTGTGTTCTCTTACAAAAAAAATAATTCTTGCGTATAAAAGTATTATTATTAAATATGAAAAATAACACGAAAAGTTCTTTAAAGTACAATATCTCTTTATCGCTTTTACATACAAAGTATCCATCTAAAAAATCGGTTGTCACTGAAAATTTAACATTTAACAGTACTGCAGTAATCACTAAAATTAAGAGAAAAAAAGATCAACTCACACAATTTTAAAAGCAATAAACACCTGTAAACCAAACATAAAACACGAATCTCAAGCACTCCAGGAGTAGACTCAGGTGCCCAAAATGAGAAAACATACCCTTTGATCGGTCATACTTGCCATGTTTTTGTCCATGGACAGAGGCAACGTTCCTTTGTCAAATTAAGTACAAAACAGCCGATCACGTGGTATAAACATGTCTGTTAAACCATTTCATGAAAGGTTATATTTGCTAACAAGGTAATTAAAAAATATAATATAATTTGGTATTTGAGAAACCATTGAATCCATCTTCAGAATGAAAACTCAGCACCAAATTGTAGTAAAAGTTCAGCAATACTGTCATGACCATATAAATATGCTATGTACAGTGGACTCTTATTGTCTTTATTGCATAAATTAACGCAAGTATCATTTCTTAATAATAATAATTGGACCGTGCTGTAATGTCCATTTTCACAAGCTATGTAGAGTGGACTGTTTCCCTCGTTGTCACATAAATTGAATATACAGTTGTACCGTGCTATCATGTCCATTCCGACAAGCTATAGAAAGAGGACTGTCTCCATCATCATCACATAAACTGGTGTCGGCACCGTTGTTCAGTAACAGCTGTATCGTGCTATCATGTCCATTTTGACAAGCTATGGAAAGAGGACTGAATCCATCATTATCACATAAATTGATGTCTGCACCATTGTTCAGTAAGAGTTGTACCGTGCTATCATGTCCATTTTGACAAGCTATAGAAAGAGGACTGTCTCCATCATCATCACATAAATTGGTGTCAGCACCGTTGTTCAGTAACAGTTGTATCGTGCTATCATGTCCATTTTCACAAGCTATGTAAAGAGGACTGTCCCCATCATTATTATATAAATTGATGTCGGCACTGTTGTTCAGTAACAGTTGTACCGTGCTATCATGTCCATTTTGACAAGCTATATAAAGAGGACTGAATCCATCATTATCATATAAATTGATGTCAGCACCGTTGTTCAGTAACAGTTGTACCGTGCTATCATGTCCATTTTGACAAGCTATATAAAGAGGACTGTCTCCATCATTATCACATAAATTGATGTCGGCACCGTTGTTCAGTAACAGTTGTACCGTGCTATTATGTCCATTTTGACAAGCTATATAAAGAGGACTGACTCCATGATTATTAAATAAATTGATGTCTGCACCGTTGTTCAGTAACAGTTGTACCGTGCTATTATGACCATTTTGACAAGCTATAAAAAGAGGACTGAATCCATAATTATCAAATAAATTGATGTCGGCATCGTTGTTGAGTAACAGTTGTATTGTACTATCATGTCCATTTTGACAAGCTATATCAAGAGGACTGGCCCCATTCTTCTCACATAAATTGGTGTCGACACCGTTGTTCAGTAACAGTTGTACCGTGCTATCATGTCCATTTTGACAAGCTATATAAAGAGGACTCGCTCCATTCTTGTTACAGAAATTGATGCCGGCACCGTTGTTCAGTAACAGTTGTACCGTGCTATCATGTCCATTTTGACAAGCTATCCAAAGAGGACTGTCTCCATCATTATCACATAAATTGATGTCGGCACCGTTGTTCAGTAACAGTTGTACCGTGCTATCATGTCCATTATGACAAGCTATCCAAAGAGGACTGTCTCCATCATTATCACATAAATTGATGTCGGCACCATTGTTCAGTAACAGTTGTACCGTGCTATTATGTCCATTTTCACAAGCTATATAAAGAGGACTGTCTCCATCATTATCACATAAATTGATGTCAGCACCGTTGTTCAGTAACAGTTGTACCGTGGTATTATGTCCATTTTGACAAGCCATATAAAGAGGACTGTCTCCATCACTATCACATAAATTGATGTTGGCACCATTGTTCAGTAACGTTTGTACCGTGCTATCATGTCCATTTTGACAAGCTCTAATAAGAGGAGTGACTCCATTCTTCTCAAATACATGGATGTTGGCACCGTTGTTCAGTAACAATTGCACCGTGCTATCATGTCCATTTTCACAAGCTATAATAAGAGGAGTGACTCCATTCTTCTCACATAAATTGATGTTGGCACCGTTGTTCAGTAACAGTTGTACCGTGCTATCATGTCCATTTTCACAAGCTATATAAAGAGGACTGTCTCCGTCATTAACACATAAATTGATGTCGGCACCGTTGTTCAGTAACAGTTGTACCGTGCTATCATGTCCCTTTTTACAAGCTATAAAAAGTGGACTGTAACCATCATTATCACGTAAATTTATGTTGGCACCGTTGTTCAGTAACAGTTGTACCGTACTTTCATGTCCATTTTGACAAGCTATAAAAAGAGGACTGACTCCATTCTTTTCACATACATTGGTGTCGACATCGTTGTTCAGTAACAGTTGTACCGTGCTATCATTTCCTGTTTGACAAACTACATAGAGAGGACTGGCTCCATTGTTCTCACATAAATGGATGTTGGCACCGTTGTTCAATAACAGTTGTACCGTGCTATCATGTCCATTTTGACAAGCTATAATAAGAGGAGTGACTCCATTCTTCTGACATAAATTGATGTTGGCACCATTGTTCAGTAACAGTTGTACCGTGCTATCATGTCCATTTTGACAAGCTATATAAAGAGGACTGTATCCATCATTATCACATAAATTGATGTCGGCACCGTTGTTCAGTAACAGTTTTACCGTGCTATCATTTCCATTTTGACAAGCTATAATAAGAGGAGTGACTCCATTCTTCTGACATAAATTGATGTTGGCACCATTGTTCAGTAACAGTTGTACCGTGCTATCACGTCCTCTATCACAAGGTATACAAAGAGGAATCAATCCATCCTCAATATCACATAAATTGTTTTTAGCACCGTTGTTCAATAAGCAAATTGTTGTATTATTACGTCTTTCTCCAGTTTTTGTGTCGATTCCGGCCTCTTTGAAATGATCTTCATCATTTGCAGCAGCAAGTAATAACGGAGTCCACCCGTCAGCAGTTGTTAACTTGTTTACGTCAGCACCAAGTCTTACTAACTCTTCAAGTATTGAATAGTTATGAAAAACTGAAGCAACATGAATTGGTAAAGAGTCATCACATATTTCCATCATTGCTGTTTTTTTATAATCTTCGCTGAGAGAATTTAGTAAGTTTAAATCGCCATTCGCACATATAGCAGTAAATATAGGATGTTCTTTCAACTTTGTTTCAGGGATACTTTTTATGAAAAATGAAGCAATGTCAGAATGACAAAATACAATCAGACCAACTAAAGGGCATATTTCACTTTGAAATGAATAAAGTAAATCAAGTCTCGTGAAAAAAGTTCTTTGAAATGATTTTTGAAATTTCGATCTGTCTATTTCACATTTAATTTTTACAAGAAGTTTTTCGAGCGAATCCACTTTTTGCTTAAAAGAATTGATCACAGTCTCTTTCCGTAAGCATGGATGTAGTATAACATCTATAATTTGTTCTGTTTGTATGTCAGTGATAAACCTGTCCACAAGATCTTCAATGTATTCCTCAGGCAGGTAAACAGTGAAGGGATCGCGATCTTCCTCTTCTGCATCGTCTTCTATCCTTACCCGACGTCTCAGAAAACCACTGTCTGCGTACTGTATTGACTCTTGTGGACAATCAACACCAAACACAAGAGTCGTTATCTCCATTATAAAGTCGTGAAGGAATTGGAAAGTATTTCCGACACGTTTGACATAAGATCCTTTCAGTTCCTGTAGAGTACTACGAATCACTGATATGTGTGTGTTTTCTTGTAATTCCGACATTCCTAAAACTTCCTTAAACTTCATTAAAGAAATATCATTTTTAACAATAGTATCGATTTTCAAATTGTTTTTGAAAGCCACTATCAAGATAAGTGAGCAAAATCTTTTTTTGTCTGTTTTCCTCCAAATTTCTATTTCCTTTTTAATAAATTTGTACGGATTTTTAAAGAAATCAACCCCCTTCTCTTTGTAGTTCGCTTCCCTTGAAAAAAGCTTACAAAGCAATGGGAAGTAAGCCTCGGTTTTGATTATTTCAGTAACAACCTCCTCGGATAATTTCAGATTCTGTGAATACTGATTAAAAATCGCATTTTTCTCTTTAACAGTTAGTCCATGTTCCTTGCTGTCAATTTCTACTACAGTCGATTCGTCCAATAAGTTACCCTTGATTCTCTTGTCATAAAAGACGCATCTTCTACATGATATCAATAGTTTATTCTTCTTCAAGCAAATCTCCAGCGTTTTCTCTAAACTTTTCCATGAGTGATACAAAATTTCATCTAACGACTCCTTACCTAAAGGATCATTGAATACAAATAATATACGATTTTCTGAGACTCCGGTTGAGCAGATCTTTTTAATTTCTTCCACCTTATCCACCGGTATGACATTCCATTCCTGCTCCTTTAGAATGAGTGCAATATGCTGAATTATTGCAGATTTTCCAGATCCAGAATTCCCAACCACTGTGATAAGGTTAAGACTTTTAAGCTTTTCTTGAACCGCGTCACTAGCTCTTGTATGAATGAAGGCAATATCGTCTTCTCGCCAATTGTCCAGAATCTCTTTTACCAGACTGTTTTCTGAAAAAGATATTTTTTTTTAAGATAATAAGTATAAAAACAGAAAATAAGAAATTGTTAAATCAAATTGTATTTTTTGGTAAAACTGTATAATTGTCCACAAAGATTGTGCTCTTAAACTCATCTGAATCAGAATTAAGTATTGAAAAACACTGTTGCATTGTTTTTTTGTGAATGCAACATATATTTACTACAAGAAAATATATAATTTATAGTATTCAGGAAAAGAAACGAATGTATATACTGCTGTAATGTTGTGGTTTATGGTGAAGTACAAATAAAAACTATGGATGGAATGGATTCTCATGCCATATAATAGAAAAAAAAAATAAGAGTATGGGGTTATTATCTAATGCAAACAAAATAATATAAAATTGGATTGCAGGTAAGTTTTTTTTAGATATCTTACTATAATTTAAGTGTTTTACATAGAAACAAATGCAGTTAATCGGCCTATTGTTTTACATAGAAATAAATGCAGTTACTTGGCCTATTATACTTAAAATTTGAATTCAATTTGGAAAAAAATAGTTTACTTATAAACATGACAAATTTGCTCTTTTTTTTACTCTAGTCAATTTAAAAAATATACAACAAAAGAAACGGAAAAATAGCTGTCAGGGATAAGTTAACATTCACGACTTTTGATGAACGCAACTACAGGTATAAGATTTATCTAGAGGGAATGTTGCACATGTTAAAACAAGATTATATGAAGTGAAAGACCTACAACGTGGAAACTCTGACTCTATATCTAGTGGTAGACTAAGTTTTACAACATGTATATGAAAATATGCGAAAAAAATCTTCCTCTACGATTACAGCATATTTTTCTAGGAAAAAAAGGACTTCAAAGAGCGTCTCACTTTCAACACTTGCATGTAACAACTCCGTGATATCTATGCAGGCCTTATGTTTTGTAGTTCGAGTACATCGAGAACTCTCATAGATGGAATTAAAAAAATATAAGGCTCTATCCCCGATAACAAGACAGACATTTTTGCTCTTTTTTTTTTTACTCTACTTAATTTAAAAATTTACGACAAGAGAAACGGATAAATGGCTGTCAGGGATAAATTAACATTCACGACGTTTGATAAATGCAACTACTAGTATAAGATTAATCTAGAGTGAATGTTTAGTAACTACTAGTATAAGATTTATCTAGAGTGAATGTTGCACATGTTAAAACAAGATTATACGGAGTGAAAGACCTACAACGTGGAAAGTCTGACTCTATATCTAGTGGTAGACTAAGTTTTACAACAGGTATATGAAAATATGCGGAAAAAATCTTCCTCTACGATTACAGCATGGTTTCCTAGAAAAAAAATGGCTTCAAAGTGCGTCTCACTTTCAACACTGGCATGTAACAACTCCATGATATATATGCAGGCCTTAAGTTTGGTAGTTCGAGTACATCGAGAAATCTAATAGATGAAATTTAAAAAAAATGTTTAGGCTCTATCCCCAATAACAATACAGACATTTTTGTAATTATTCGATCATTATAGTTTGCACTATAGTACTAACGTCTTGTAGGTATCATGGAGATTTTCGTGCTTAGCCAACATTTGTTCAAATTGCAAAAATCTTAAGGAAACATTCCACATTACTAATATAGAGAAATGTATTAGTCATGTTAGCATGAAACACTAGTCTCCGCCTCATATCGTATGTAGTAAATATTGTAATGACATTATTCATTATAGTCACCTTTGTCTTCGGATTTTCTTTTCAATTCTTGCAAATCCTTTTCCACAGAAGATAACTTTTCCAGTAGAGATTGGTTATTTTTATAATCTTCCCTAAGTTTTTCTATGATTGTTGTTTCGAACTCCTCTTCTAAGGCCTGACTTTGAATATTACTCAGTCCAGACAAATAGTCTTTGTTTGTGTACGCTTGCAGCCTTTGGCAGATATCAGTTATGATTGACCACGTGTCATCAAACTCTGTCTGTGAGGTAGAAGCCGAGCTTATGTGTCCAAACATGCTGTTTCTTATCATCCTGATCCTCTCAACGTCATCGCCAATCGTTATTTCTCCTACTGACGGCATCGTGCTTCCACCCCAACCTTTTGTTGGACGAGGAATCTTTGTACATATGTTTCTTATCAGTGTATATAACAGTGTTATATCAAATTCTTTATAACCATCAGTTTTGGCGCCTATAAGACGACGTTCTTGCTCAGGACGTATGTTTTTATAAATCGATGATAACTTCACTTTGTTGTAGACAAGCCCAGGAGGTACTTCCATTTCTAAGACATCTCTACAGGCCTGGGTCATTTCTTCATTAATTGCCATTCCGAGTTTAGCAAACCTGGAACGGCCGCCAGGGTCTGGTCCAGAAGCCATTCTTTGATTCCTTTCAGTTAATACTCTGAAATGACAGTGCAATGCTTTATTGATTTTGGAAATTAATAGCAATCTTTTACGGTACCAATTTTAATGCACCAGTTGCCCATTCAGACAAATTTTGTTTCTTTGCTGATGCTCATGTCGAAACTTTCGAAAACAGATATATTTGAATATAAAAAAGGAAAGCTTCCAAGAACTATACAAATTCAGGGTGATTCAGCTGATTTTTTTTTTCAAGGTGAACTGTTTTTCATTTGGTCTTTTTATAAGATATTGAGATAACAAACAGTATTCTAGCCCTAAATTAAAATAAAGAACAACCCACAAATGAGGTAGAGGACAAACGCAGACCTCCAAGAGGAGGACATGGAGATAACGAAAAATATTCAATACTCAAAGTCCATAAAACCATACAAAGCAGGATCAGAGCAAACACGGACCTCCCAAACATCAGAGGTGGGATCAGATGCCATGGAGGATTAAGAATCCCCTGCCGACCGGTCACACCCGCCGTGTGCTACTTGTCATAATCGAGAAATAACACGAAAATCCGTCGTCAATTCAATGTACAAATAATGGACTAACAACTGGACTAAGTATGCTTTGACTTAATGATATATTGTATTTGCTGATTTGATTTTGAATTTTGAATTTTACAAAGTGAGCAATGCACATAAAATTCATTATTTGAACCAGATGTTATTAAAACTTTAAAAAATACTCTTCAGTATTCAACAACAATGTGCTTAAATACGGAAGGAAATACGACCAAGTTCTACTCAGTATCAGTATACAGGGAAAACATATATAGGATTGGAAATTCAAATTTTAATGACAAGGAAGAAACCCAGTTTAACCCAGCTTCACAAGCAAACTTTTGCTTTTTCTTAGAATACTTATTGGCATGTCTGTTTCAGTAATCCTTTCCAAAATGATTTTTTTCAAGCAAAAATCTAATGTTTACAATATTTCTTTCAATTTAATTTTTTAACATTTGCTCAATTTGTTTGAAAAGAATCAGGAATCAGGATTTTATCAATATTTTTTGATTTCAAATCAGTCAACAACTTGTGCGTGTATGATAAGATGAAGAAAAGTCTTGTTGTGATATTCAACCAGATGTTCAGGTATTATCAATAAATAAAATTCAAGTAGTTGAGTGGTATAAAAACATAACTTTTCCCTTTGTACATCCCAAAAAATTTATAAATTATAAGAAATAACTAAAGGTTTTTCACTTAATTGATTGAAATGGTTATAAATAAACCTTTCAATAAATGTATTTAAGGCAGATTACATGTTTAAAATTTTGAATTGTTCACAAATAAAGGAGCTATACTCTTAGAATTCATCATCGAATAAAGGGTCATTGAATACTGTTCGTTATCTCCACATCCTTCATCACGGGTAGCATCAGGTGCCATGGAGGAATGAACATCACCTGCTGACCGGTCAAACTGAAACAGGCTGCTGAAAAATGATTTAATGTTAAAGGGAATTCAACAACCACGTTTAAAGTCAGTATTTCTTCATTTTATTGTGGGTGTATTGTCTTTGTTAGCAAATATCATCTTTCATATTTTGGCTGAATACTTCATAGCAATATTTAAATTGATTTAACACTATTTTTAGTACTACTAAAATAATGGAGATCATGTTTATTTTGTGTATGAATACCCAACGCATAAGGAAGGAAATTCATTGTATTCTCCTCCCAGTTTTACTAAACTTTCATAAAGAAATCTTTATTTCACATACATAAAAATCAACTCAGGAAAAGTAATTTCCGGAGCAAATTTTGAGAATTCATGTTTTCAGGGAAGAAAATCAGAGGAATTTTGCAATCCTCTTTTTCCTTTTTTATATTTTGAATTATTTTTGTATGATTTCATATGTACAGTATTTATTTGAAGTTTTGTAAAAAACAAAAAAAGTGCAATCAATAAAGCATAAAAACGGAGTTCAGGAAATATAAGTCTTGCTATCAGGTGCCTAAGAGTAATAAACCTCCTTAAGATTCAGCAACAAAAGACATGATAGCTTTGTGTTTATAGGTAATCGGAATAATCCGGGGTCAAACCTTCAAGGAATTGTTCTTAAAAAAACAAACTAAAGCCTTTTGCTGTGTCTTTTAGCTCATTATTTAGATATTTCTACGATACATGCCAAAAATACGGTGTCCTAAAAGGGTCATTGCAAAAGAGTATAGCGAGTCCGAAACTACACGCAAGCGCATTAATGACAACGCACTAACATGCAAGCACATTGATGACAACGCGCTAACGCGTTTACACGCAAGTGCGTTGTCATTAACGCACTTGCGTGTTGTTTCTAACAACGCGCTACACGTACAATTTAGCATATCACTGATAAGTTTCCAGTACTTTTCATATTCTTAAAATTAACAATTTCTTAAAAGTGTAGCTTTTCCACTTTTCCAACTAGTATTCTCTCTATAATATTTTTTTTTCTAGCATTTTGATACTTTATTTAGGCATATTTTTAAACCTACTGGCGAAAATGACTTGTTTAACAATAAGTTTTATTATATTGTGTAATTTATACATGCTTTTATTGTTGAATTTCCCAAAGAGTATATCTTTTCTATCAAAATTAGTAACAAAATGAATTTTTATAAAAACCACTTATCAATATGACACCATTATTTTTTTTTTTAACAGAATCACTAAAAAATTAAATTTTCAATTGTTTCAACTTCCTATTTTAAAAAAGGGCAAAGGTTAGGTTATCTTTGTATAAATCTTGAAAAGTAAATGCAAAGCCAATACCTACTCAGAAGTAACATTTTATACAAAGAAAGGTGTATAATAGTGTACTGCTTAATTTTGTAGCTTAATATGAGAATGATTTTTGACGAAATCTGTACGTGAACCTATGTATTTTCTAAATCTCATCCTGTTTTATTGATAACTACGAAAGTCATAGTTTTCAAAATTCCAGGCAGTCAAAATACAGCATTCCAGCCTTCAGTTTTCTGATTTCTGAATACGTTAAATTGTAGAACCTTATAATAGATACCTTTATTTAAAACTTTTAAGTATTTTGTCAAAACAAGAAAGTTAATGACGTTTTGTTTCTATTTTTGTTTCAGCCAATCACAGCGAAGCGCAAGTGTTCTTGATAATTTGACATGATCCCACCTCTTAAACTTTTTTTGTTCATATTAATTTTGCTTATATTTTAGCGATTAATGTGTGGTTTTGTCGCTTTGTTCCGTATGCCTCTTGTCAGGGATTTGCATGTTTACTCTAAACGATCAATTTAATGCCTTTATTAAGAAAAAGTGAACTTTCTCGGACCCTTTCGGATGTAATTGTAAAAGTGTCTGTGTTTGGAGGGAGGGGATAATTCAAGTAATTTTTTAAAGGCGTTCATTTGTACAACACAACGAATTTTACCCTTTCTTATGATGATAGATGTATGCTGAAAGGGTTCAATTTGATATGAAGAGAGAGAGAGAGAGAGAGAGAGAGAGAGAGAGAGAAATACATGTTATTTGACCAGAAGGATCCAATTTACGGGACACCTACCCTATCCTCTTAAATCATATTAATTGAAATAGCAAAATGATAAATGAAGTATCTCACCTCAGACTACGATATATGTCTCCTTTGCGTCATTCTTATATAATGGTAAACGTCCATGGGATTTTATTCAAAGTAAAATGAATTAATATATACGGAAGTAAACTTTACGGAAAAAAACAACCGCACAACTAGAAACATGATTATAATGCAGCGGCAATAATACTGTTCCTCGATATTTTGATTTCCATACAATCATATGTTAAGTGCTATATATCCTTGTACTTTGTCACGTGATGTGCATGTGTAGAGTAAAATTCAATTTATCATTGTCAAAATGCAATGCTTGTAACTATACTTTATTTTGTATTGCTACTTTAAAAAAACTTAATTGTTTCCGCTAATGAAGGGGGGGGGGGTTAAAAAGTTATTTATATTTAAGGATAATATGAAGGAAATTAATAATTATGGGATTAACCTATACTGGATGTTTAAATGTTTTTCTTTATTCAGAGCAGCGTAATATAATAAAATAATTATGCACACGTTTGTTTCATTTTGCTCCCTGACAAGCAGTTTAATTGTTTGATTGTCAGCAATAGTTGCTTAATCTTCCATAAAAAACATTTTGATATATATGACCTGCACGACTTAACTAACATACCGACATAGCTAATATCAGAGAGTGATCAACAGCTTTAATTTTAAACATATATCTATCACTAAAAGAGGGCAAAATACAAATTTTAGCGTTTTCAATCGCAATATTATCAAAAATGCAAAGTGTTTTGCGTTTAAACGCAATGTTTGTTGCGACTAAACGCAAAGTTTTGCAATTAAATGCAATAAAATTTTTATTATACCTCATTATAAGTATTCTAAACAACGCGTTATCTGATTGGTTCTAAGTTATCACGTGAACGGGCCGTAAAACTTCATACTTCCAGGCCGTCGGCATGCTTTTCATCACATTCCACCTCTTCGGATACTAAGTGCATTTTCCCGCAATAATTATCGTTCGTTTAAAGAAAACTCCAGAGAGTATAGTAGACGACACAATAACCTGGTTTAGGTCACAAAATTGATAATAATGTGTTGACCGAAGAGTTTTAGTAACTTTTTGTTAAAAATGAATTGAGAGCGGTACTTGGGTTCATTATTATTATACCAACACACAAGTTAATGGTTTAGGTTTGACAAGTATATATTTATTGATGGTAATATTATAATAAAAACCTGAAATAAAGTCATTATAATTGAAAACATTCACAAATCCTTACTGACTTTACTTTTAATTACAAATATAATAAGAAATGAATAAGTAATAAATATATTTACCAGGCACACTATATAAATCAGCTACTAGATGTAGTAGAACTATTCCTGTCAAGGGTGTAGCGCCGCCTGTGCATGAAAATGGTTAGCCGCGGGAAAGTTCGTGAAAAGTTATTAATAGAAAGAAACTAGTCAAACCGGAAATGGTCAAATACGTCACACCTAAGAAACATAAACACTCACAAGTGGACATTCACACATGACAACACAAACGTAAACACACATAATAGTAATAATTAAAACATTGAAACTGAAACATTTGATTACTTACACTGGATACATATTCCCCCCTTTCATTAAATAGCTCCCGACATTCTATGAAATTAAATATCAGGCAAATGTTCTAATTCAAAGTGCAAAATCACCTCAATATCTATTTACAACAAATTCAATAATCCACCAAATATGCATAAAATAAAATCAAACCAAATAGAATAATCAAACACCATGTGAATCCATAAATGCATCACCAAAACACAACTCACTGACGCTGAACACCAAACCTGCGAAAGACCTTTGACACATAAGACCTCGACATTACTGTCCAAGAATCATATCAACTGAACCAACCGATATCAAATGAATATGTTCAAATCAGTCTCAGATTAAACATTCAATTTCATCAAGTATCACATGATGATGGGGGTTCAATAAGGTTACACTGTAAAATTACAGTATCGATTGTGTATCTTTAAATAAACAACATGTATCAGTTAAATTCATTCATAGATTCATTTATTTGGAATAATATTCACAAAAGTCATAAAAACAATAATAAAACACTATCTTTTTTAGGAAGTCTTTAAATTCACTGAATTCACTAATCACTTTACTTTCACTTAACTCTGAGTGTCTCTTTCAAAGAATTTTTCCTTAATAGGTCACCTGAGTGACTCTCATCAATATCTAACAGCATATGAATTTTTATGAAAATATCTTAGTTTCTTTGAAACAGCTTTCTTTGAACTGAGCTAAATTCAAGGTGTGACGGAAGGACAGAAGACGTACATAACAAACACCATCTGCCCCGGCCATATTCATGATTGGACATAAAAACCATTCTTAGCAATCCACAATTTGATACCTATCCTATTATGCTACATTTTTGATTTATATTTAAGGACAAAACTAATCCCATAGCTAGAAATATTTTAAGCGAAATATCAAGTGTTACTAATCTCAAGTCTGCATCAGAAAATTTCATCGAAAGAAACCGTCCATAATACATGCAGGAAACGAAATTGATAACTTGAGTTATATTGGGTAAGTAGGAAATTTAACATTTTGACGTAATTTGATTCAGTAAGAAAGTTTCCATTTTTCCTTAGCAGAGTTAACTGAGATACGTCTACAATATTATATACACTTGTCAAATTTAAGTCGACGGTGTCTAATTTTGACCCCCCAATACTTATCTAGAGGAAGCTCCTTGAGGTAAAATCTGTGACCTCACACTAGCCTAATCAATAGCAGAAAGAAATATACGCTACTGAGAATGGACTCCATAAGAAGCTCACAATAGTAAGTTCTCATTACAAGAATTTATAGCACTAAATTAAAAAAAATTCCTAATTCATCTGAATCAGTGTAATTTGTTGACAGTAAAATTGGTTTTAACTTTTTACACCACTGAATTTAAAACATATAATATATATATATATTCTAGACAAGTTTAGTTACAAATTTCACTATTAAAAAAAAATAAATGATTTAATTGAGTCGAAAAATAACTGATTCAGTTGAGGAAGTTTTTATTTATTCTATGATTTTTTAATGTAAAAATCATCAATTATGATAATTATATTATAGTTTTACAAAAGTGACACATTCATTATACAAGAATATAAATTCCATTTTAATCATTCTAAGTATTGAAGGCATACAACACATATCAGAGTCGGTGTTTGTGGGACTGTGTCGTAAAGTTGGGACCTCAAAAGTGGTGGCCATGAGAAGAGATATAGTGGTTATCGGTGAGATGGTTAGAAATCAAGTGGCAACAAGTGGTTTGTCCAGTGCGATGGCGAGTGGAAGTTATGGAGAAGGACTCAGACTGAAAGGATCAGATATAGACTTTATGTTCTGGCCAAATAATCACCGTGTGATCTGGGAATTATCTCAGTCTCAGTATTACAACACACATAGACAAACATTGATCCTCTGTGACTGTTCTGATAGTCCACCAGGATTTACTTTGTTATATTTACTGTCACCATGTACAAGCAGATTTATCCAGAGAGCGTGTGTTAGAATGAGTAACACATATTATATATCTAGTTCTAAATTCAGAGAGATCCCTTTATCTGAGTCACTACCTTTTAATCCCATTCCACATGGACCCTGTGTCAGTGGAAGATATGGAACACTAGAATATGATTATGCCCACTGTTTTGTTAGTGACTTTTGGCCTCCCTCTGCCTCCCCATGGATATACAGATGTCACTCATGGCCCAAACCTCATGTTGTTGATGATATAGTGAAAAATGGATGTCACTTTGTAGCAATAGGACATAAGCTAGGAAATCACGAAGATCATGAATGGAGAATTTCATTCTCCCAAGCAGAACAAAAACTTGTGTATGTAATGAATCACTGTCAATTCTTAACTTACGGCTTACTTAAATTGATATTAACAGAAATAATTAATAATGGAGTAGGTGATAATGATAAATTACTATGTTCCTATCACATGAAGACGGCAGTTTTCTGGGTGATTCAACAAAATACAATACCTCACTGGTGTCCACAAAATCTCCTGGGGTGTTTCTGGGTCTGTTTTAAACTCATCCTCAAATGGGTGCATGAGGGGGTCTGTCCTAACTTTTTCATTCCAGGCAACAACATGTTTCTGAGTAAAATTCATGGCATCAAACAACAACAATTATTTATAAGACTGTCAGGGTTGTATGAAAAGGGTTTAGCATTCCTGCTACATAGTCCCTCCATTAGAGCTTTTATTATAGATGTTCTCTATAACCCCAGAAACTTCATCTGTACAGATGATCATACTCTGATTTGTGAGGATGAGTTTGATAGAAATGTGTTTGGTGAAATAATACAAAATTCCGTAACACCAGACCAATGGGACATACAAATTTGCATTAGACATCTGCATACAATAGAACGGATGGTAGGTTCAACCCTCCTGACACAGTATCAAGTCCTCAAGCTACAGCACATGACCGCTAGGGTCCTTCAGTACACTGCTTTTAAGTTATACATGGAAACTTACACACCTGACAACAGACTTAGGTACAGAGCTGACAAAATGTCCTGTCACATGCTGAAATTAGCAGCCAAGTTTGGTTGTATTACAGACATGCTGTACATAGCCATCTATTATTTCAAAACACTTAGATACTCGGAAGCTTTATCTGTTATAGAGCTAATCAAGGTCAAGTTAGCACAACCATATGTGATATATATGGATATGGAAAATGTAGATATAGAGATGTATATTGAGGCTGTAGGGGGACAGTCCTGGTCTACAAAGATGAGACAGGCTGTAGCATGGGATATCAGACTTAACAATAGAATCCATAACATCACTGAACTGATTCCTGAACAACAGTCTGCTCTACAGAGACACATGCGTGTATTATTCATCCCACCCTTGGTACTGTTATACATGCTAGAGATTTTGTGCTACAGACATGTAGACACAATACGAGCACAAACAGCTCAAGATGATCTACAGACCTTAGTTCACTATGATCAGGGACAGTGTATAAATTTATTGTCTAGAGACATATCGTGGCAGATTCTGGGGATCTGTCAAGAGTTCACAGGGGACTTTCAGGCTGTTCTATACTCATACCAACAATCTCTCAGACAAGAACCCTACAACCACATACAAACAGCTACAGAAATGAGAATACAGAGAGTTTGTCAATGGATTCCCTTTTTTAATTAAATGTCAGATATTTGTATGTGTTCACCTGAAATATATTATTATTTACATATCCTATTCTGATTTCATATTATCTATTCTGTCTGTTTTATCATGTTTTACAAGGTAATAACTAGTCTATAATAAAATGAAAGAGACACCATTGCTTATCATAATTACAATCAAACGTGTATTAAGCAGTCATCTACGGGATGCATTAAAAGTGACTTTTATAGTTAGGTGACCTTTGGTTACAGGTTCATCTTTTTAAAGGAATTTATTTATACAAAGATGCCAGTGTATTTGTGTTTATGTTATCTATTTCACAACAAAATATACAAGGAAGCTAGGAATTGGACATTAGTGATCTCACATTTATTTTTTTGCATGAAACAAAAAAAAACATGTAGCAAAATGATTGCTTCAACAATTCTCTGCTTTCAAGCAATAAAACACTATAGCTCTGTTTAAAGGGAGAAAACTCCTACGACCTTATATGTAAAATTCACATGCTCAAAATCAATGTTTTTCTCCCATTTAGAGAAATCCAGTGAAAAACGACCATTGAGTGTAATGAAATCAAAGTAGAATTTGTAGGAGTTGAACATGGTATAAAACAACGCAGAGAGTGTACTATATCAAAGTACTGAAAGTACTCATGGGAGTTGAACGTGGTGTAAAACAACCCATGCCGTGTACTTAAAAAAATGGCGGGATCATGAAGTACCCAACAAGTGAATACTCTCCCATCAACTGAAATGATATACCAGCCGCAGAACTGTAGTCTTACGGTTTTCTATATTAGTCTTGGACCATAACGCTACAGGTCCTGTAAAACAACAAGAGGCCCATGGGCCTTATAGGTCACCTGAGCATCATGCAACAACTCTCAAATGATTGAATTTCCTTCATTTTTTAAGCAAGATGCTATGGCATTCACAATTTTGAAAGAGGCACCATTACTGATCATATATATACACTTAGCAATTGCTTAGTTTGGTTACTTAATACCAATAGGCAGAGTAGGGGAACAACAACTGCATTTCAACTAATCAGTAATATTCAGCAATAATCAGTAGTGTCCCTACCACAAATGAAACCCCGACCAAGTTGGTCCATGCATTGCAAAATTTTTTAAGAGACACCCTTGCTTATCAAAAATGTTTGATTAATAATAAGGAGTAGACTTCAAACAATTATCTCATTTTCAGTATATTAAAGTAGAGCCCCCCCACTCTCTCTCTCTCTCTCTATGGTACCTCTGACCCAGAGGCCTTGAATTTCACATTTCTAGAAGAAGGTTCCTTATCTATCATAATTATATAGGAAGTTCATCTGCAAAATACCCAGGAGCGGAGAAGATTTTCAAGATTAAGTTTATTTTCTCTAGTATATAATTAATCAAAAGAGCCCCGCTCTAAAATCAGAACTAATCCTGGAGACACATATTCA